TCAGCCCTTTGACCTTTTATACTCTTGTACCACCAAATTAAGTCTCAACTAATTCAATTTAATGTTTCTTTTTTTAGTTTCATCTCAACTACCTTTAACATTAAAAAAATCACACTGTCAACATCAAAGTAAACTTTATACATCATTTTAAAAAAAGACTATAAATTTAAATAAAGTTTATTATTACAAAAACAAAGACACTCAGGCTCTTTTCGCACTTGGTCCTTTTCAGCCCTCTAAATGGACTCAGAGCGGTGACATATACGAACACTCCCAGGGAGTGGCAGGCAGCAGCAACTCTGTCTGTGTGAACATCTCATGCGTGGAAGTCACAGCAGTTCAGCGAGGCAGCCGTCACGCTGCCCACACAGGCAGTGGGGTATACGGATATTTTTGAAAACAGATATTTTTCTATTCATTATCATCTGACTATTCGGGGCCAGGTCAGGGGGGGGCAGCAGACTAAGCAAGGCATTCCAAACATCTCTCTCCTGGATCATTTCCCAGCTCCTTCTGGGGACCCCGAGATATTCCCAGGCCAGATGAGATATATAATCCCTCCAGCATGTTCTGGGTCTCCTATTAGATAGACGTACCCAGAAACCCTCTAAAGTGAAGCGCCCAGGAGGGTCCTGATGAGTTGTTGAACCACCTCAACTGATCCCTTTCAACACGAGGAAGCAGTGGCTCTACTCCGATCTCCCCCCGGATATCTAAGCTCCTCACCCTAACCCTAAAGAAGGGACATTTTCCCCTCTGTAAAACAAAATTAAAAAAAATCTGTCCATACAACCTTTGTTTTAAAAATCTATCTTACTTCACACAAGAATGAAAAATCGACTCCTAACGCTTGCCGGGCCAGTAGGTGGTGATGAAGGCTACGTCAATGATAGGTCAAACACCAGAGAAGAAGATTCTGAGCAGGCGTAGGGAGCTTATTTTCCTTTGGTGGGATTAACAAACCAAACAATAGTAAGATAATAGTATTTTTTTCTGTATTTATCCATATTTGACACCTTTTTGTTTAACATCTTTCTGTGTGGCAAAACCAAAATGTGACTTGTGTGTGGACGGACGATGAGGTTAACGTAAACAAACCGGTAGTCCTCCATTGATCTTGTTTCTAGTGTGAACTGGGGAGATGACATCGTTTCCCAAATGCTCTATTTTGCCTACACACTGATATAAAGTAACTGAAATTGTAATATAAATTTGTACCTCAGAAGGCGTTTTCAAAAATCTGTTTCAGTGACCTAAAACTCAGTTTGTATGGACGAGAGGCCAAAACGTTTAGGAAAATATCTATATATATTCTACCCTCACTCGGGATCAAGACCCTGAGATACCTAAACTCCCTAGATTGAGGCAGTAACTCTCTTTTGCAGCAGAGAACCATGACCTCAGATTTAGAGATGCTGACTCTCATCCCAACCGCTTCGCCCTCGGCTGCAAACCGCCCCAGTGCCTGCTGGAGGTCACAGTGTGATGAAGCCAAAAGAACCACATCCATCTACGTCCCAACCCTCACCTATCATCATGAGCTCTGGGTGGCGACCAAAAGAATGCCACATCAGTTTCCAATGGGAAATCAGCGGCTGTAATATCCTTTGATTCATCGAAACTTTGCTAAATCCTGAACAGCATCATTCAGCCAGGAGGCTGCACTGTGGCACTGCCCCTGATTGGAAGGAGCGACCATGGGGCCATCTTGTTGACACCGAGATGTGTTGACAGTTAAATCATTCCCAAACCAGAAACCAAGGATCACCAGATCCATCAGGAAACACAGACAATTATTAAGCAGCAGCCAACAATGTGAGAAGACACAAAAAGGACTAAATTACGGAGCACAAAGGAGATTATAGGATCACGTTATACTGGAGTTGTACCTTGTATAATTCAAATAAATGAAATGGCAAATAAATGACTGATTGAAAAAGGTGTAAAGTTTTTTTGTCCTTAAACGACAACTGAAGCCCTAAATGTTGGCAAGTAATGTGTGTGTATCTCATGTCAAAGCCAAAGAAAAACAAAAGCAAGTATCAGTGTTTGCAGCTGACTGGACGCACACAAATTAAACAAAATTAGATTATTAATCAGACGTTTTACACACTGAATGCTGTCCTATCCTCCTGAGACCTCATGTCGTCATATGAGGGCATCACATTTTGGGTTTACTTGACTTTATACTTCATTCTGCTTAACTTGGACCTGTTGTCCTCGTCCGTGGACACTTTTTTTTTCCTAACGGTAGTGAGAACACAATACACTAATTAGGGATAGACCGATATGGATTTTTTAGGGCTGATGCCGATACCGATTTTTTTCCATCACCCTTAGCTGATGACTGATTATGGACTGCTGATTTTCTTGAGCCGATATTTGGGGCCGATACTGTTTAACAGTTAGAGGCTTTGAAAGTTTAAAACTTACCGTTGTCCTGAAGCAGCTTCCAGGGCTGCTTTCACCACTCTACCAGTGGGGGAGGGGTAACGCTGCATGTGCACTGCAGGGTCTTCCAGCAACACAGAGCTGCCCGTGGATGCCTGTCTGTAAATCATGCCAGGTAAAAATAAATCCGCTAACCCACGCGCGTATCGGCTGATGCCGATACAAGTTAAAAAAAACTCAAATATCGGCCCGATATATCGGCCAGCCGATGTATCGGTCTATCCTTAACACTAATCCATGTAAAAACAAGATGGCAGCCATCTCTGCCAAGTCAATCTGCAGCCGATCTTGACACACAAGTGAACAAGGTCTAAAACCTGATCACATTTTATGATTGAAACTTGTTTATTATTTATGTATGTTTGTAATTTGACATGGGAATTTTTTTAGCAACAGTAACAGGTTAAGACACTGTTAATTATAAAGTAAGGGCTTGTTTTGGTTTTTATATTTATCAGGTCCCACTGATCCCAAATAGCAAGGAGAAATTAACAATGCACACAAACAGAAGTTCGGGTCTCAGGAGGATATGCAAGCAGCAAGATTTTCTCAGCATTTGCAAAGAAAAGAGAGTTTTATGTCATACTTTAAAGTGGAAATAGATATTAATATAGATAAACTGAGCTTGGGTCACACTGTTCTGAACTCTGTCATATATACGGGGTAACTTTGATGTGACAGCAAACAGTGTGTTTACTTTGGGAAAATTCAAATAATGTGATCTTCATAAGATTTCGTGGTACAAGAGCTAATTTCAAAAGTTTCAAGGGTGAATGTTTTGCAACTGACTGTACTACAGCTGAAAATACAACATTTACAAAAAGCTTACTCATGACAAACACAAACTTATTTTAACATTTGTCACAAAACAAAGTGCTTTAAGATATAATAAAATAAAATAAAAAAACAGCAATTTTTCTACCATTTTTTTTCCCTGTTAAAGGATTTTTGGGGAGTTATTATTTTCCCCGAACTGAGCCTCTACTGATAGAGGATGTCGTATTCTGTAGAGAAGGTAACGCCACCTCTAGCAACATTGTGATTTGTAATATTGGGCTTTATAAATAACATTGACTTGACATCACTTGACTGTCCGATAATGTTAACAGCAAGAATTCCTCAAAGTTTGAAAAGAGACAAAGTAAACAGACGTGCGGTAGCTACAAGCCATGAGTGAGTCAGTTTTATTCATACGAGCGCAGTTTAGATGAAACTAGGCACACTTTAGTTTGACAAAGACAAAAGTCTCTACGAGAACGTTCTCATAGAAATCACAGATACGAAATATGACAGCTGCAGTAGCTTGGACAACAGGCTGTAGCAACTCTAATTTAGCCAGTGCAAGACCAAGCACCAGGGGTGTGATCCCAGACCGCCTGATCAGCAAACTTTCTGTTGCTGCTGTTACACAGGTTAGACCCAACAGAGTTGCTACAGCCGCTACCTGAAAGCCGTCCTCTCTCATCCTGGCATAGGAGTCTCCAAATGGCACAGAGTGAGGCGGAGGGAGAGCACATAGTGAGTTAGCTAGCTAATTCTTGTTTCATTTGTTGTCTGATAAACAGTAAATTCACCAAATGCTGTGCCACACGTTGCTTTGATCCAAACTGGTGAGAGCGCTTTCCATGGGAAGGAAACCATTTCTGCTTTTGTCATACAGAAGTGGGCGTGGCTTCATCTAAAATGGGCTGAAAAACGATAGACACTGCCTGTGTGGAACGGGCTAACTGCTAGGCCTGTCGAATTTCTGCTTGCAGCTGTCTTAAGAACCGCTCAGACAGGCACCTTCACACTCAACACTGCACTTACTTAGAGTGAGAAACACACCCGCCATGTGTGAATACAATCAGATTAACAACTGTTGAGAAGATCAAAAAACAGACAGACAGTCAATTCTCCAATTTCGTTTATAAAGCCCAATATCACAAGTTTGTCTCAAGGGCCTTTAACAGATTGATGCAGGAATGAGTCCTAAAACCTGGAAATAAGTCAGCATGTTAGCACTCATGGTTCCCTTGTCTCAAAGTCTGTGTTTTTTTAAAAAGTTTTTTGGTTAGATGCCTGAATTAAGATCTGTGGTTAGCTCAAGAGACTTTCACATTTTGTTCTACGAGATAAAACACATCTGAAAATACCCCACTCGTAAATTTTGAAGCATGTAAATTAAGTCATGCGACCATGGTGAAGTTCGTTTGTAGCCCAACATTAGCTTTTTACCTCTCGTGATTTAATTTACGCTTCAAAAAATATAAAGGTGGTGTTCATTTGTGAAGATTATCGCGCTGAACAAAATGTGTAAATATCCTAAACGTTAGTTTGCCACAGAACACATTTTATGCAATGATCCAAACTCCAATGTAAAAATCCCACAGGCTTTTTGTTCAGGGAAACAGGGCGACATTAGCTTCCATGTTGGCCTTAAGAAAAACGTCATCCCTGCAGTACAGCATACGACATCCTTTTGTCCTTGGACCCTCGCTTCAGAGACATGAGTGTGTTAAAGAGTAAAGAACACACCAGCATGTAAACAGACCAAAGTGACATGAAGGTACATTTACATGCTGTTTAATGTACTACAGCTGAGGAGCTAATTGGCTATCTAATGTTAACAGAGCACTTTTACAAAGGTAATGTGCTGTAGGTGCACTTAAAGGTTTTTTTCCAGACAAATTTTTGGCTGAACTCTTCTGTAACATGAAACTTTGATAGTCATGTTGCATCTTACTTGATGCTTGAGGAAAAGAAACTCATTGGAGTCAGATGCTTTCAACCTAAAAGTTTAAATCCCAAGGTCCTGAATTGTTAACTAAATTCACTGCAGAAGTTTCTATTACCAGATCCCTTCGGTGTTAGGGAGATAAGGTCATTTTGTTGTTATGACCCTCAGATAATAATAAGTGACCTGAGGAAAGGTTGAGGTGTATTTTTGTGTCTTGGCATTCGTCTGTAATCCTCAGTCGCTCTCACTGCCGCTCTCTGAGTTCACATACCAGTAATCCTTCCCTGTGTTCTCCACAAAACACAGACCTGAAGACCAAACCACAAACAGTACAGACGTCAGTTCAATACACAGCAGCTATCAAAGACTGCATTTCACATTATTATCCACCTTTAGAAATTACAGTCAAATTTCAGTCAGGTTTTCAGCCTGGTTTTACCATTTGGGGTTCTGCCTTCATCTTCCTCCAAGTGCTCCATGTCATAGCTCACGAAAATATTCTGTGGAAAGAAATAACCTTGTTAGCTTCAATGTGGCATCTTTATGTATATCAGCTCTTTCTCATCTGCATTTCTCCAGGATTTGAGTTGTTCTGTCTCTGCGACTGGAAACACAGGGTGGATTCAGGGACACTGGGGGGAGTTAACAATTTTTAGTTTTGACGTGACTACTCAAAAACCTATTTGGGTACAGTTTTTATGTAGGTACCTTTCATCTGTGTTATACTTATTAAGAGTATTCAATTGTTTTTACAATCAATGTAAGAGTCACAGCATTGACTGAATTGTGTTGACTGAAACTGGAAAGTCACAAATAGGAAGCATTTTATTAAACCTAAATCAACATCTACAGCTGTGTCTGTGTACAAATATGCGTGTAGAGTTCTTCTTGTGTCAGGAGATCACTAGGTATCTTCCAGCGATGGAAATAAAACTTGCACACTCCAGCACTGTTGCTGGAAAAAATCCAGGGGGAAACACTGTTTAAACATTAAGCTTTAAGCATCAATTCCAGTACCTTGTTCCTCAGGAGTCTTTCCCAGTGGCCCTGCTGTTGTTTGACCAGCTTGAGCACTGGCTCGTTGGACTTCATTTCCCAGCAGCAGCGGTCAGCAGCGATGTGGGCGTGAAGCTGCAGGTCGGCTCTGTAGGTGCGACCGTTGGCTCTGCCACTAAACACAATCAACAGAAAGAGAGAGGGAGACAGAGAGTGTCAACCTGATCCCACACTGAGGGAACACCACTGTTATAACTTCACTATGCTGCACACCGAGGTATCTAAACTTTCCCTTCTATGAAAAGACAGGTTGTAGAAGACACCACACTCAGACTGCACCACACCCTCAGGCACGCCTCAGTCTGTCCTCACCTCTCCTCAGGACGACCTACCTCAAGTCCTCAGTCATTAGAGTCCATCAGAGAATGACAGGTCTGAGGCCATCGTACACACGAGTGTGCTGCACTATTTTTCTTTTGGGTCAAAATTAACCTACGAACTGGACAGGGGTGAAATGGAAGATGATCGTGATGAAGTCGTTTTTTGGTGTGAGGCAACACATGTTCGAGCCTAGATGCGAAGCCAGTAGTGCTGCTGGTGAAGGACAGAGGCAGGCTCATCCTCCCAGTGGTAGGCTAGTGTCCATATTATTTGTCTTTCATTAGGTGCAAAATTAGTATACACCTCCTACACCAGATTATGAGAAACTCTAAAATACCATAAAAGAGACAGTGAGTAAGATTTAGGAGGATTTAGTGGCATCTAGCAGTAAGGATTTCAGATTGAGATTGCAACCAGCCGAAACTGCTCCCGGTTAGAATTTTTTTCAGTGTTCATTATTTAGGAGGTTTTTGCTGGTGGACAAGGACCTGCTACCTGTGTAAATATAAATGGAGCTTTAAGCATGCTTGATAATACAGGAGACCAAATGTGTATTTTCTTAAAATATTATTTTTATGGAGCTTTAAAAATCCAAAATTCAGAAGTTCAGACCTGAAATGAAACACTGTTGAATTAATGTGTTTGTGTCTCTGATTTGTTTTCAGCAGTTTACAAGTTTATTTTAAATTCATGAAAACATCAAGGTCAAATAATAACGACCTGGACATTAAGTATGAATTTCCTGCACAACCATCCCACGACTAGGTTTACGTCTCTCGATTTCTGGTTTTGCCATTTTGGATTTGAAGCCAATGAAAGAGGTGAGCCAAAAAACACAGATGAAGCAACGTGTAACACTGCAGGACAACACCGCCTCCTCACTCTGTGCTTCTTCCTCTTATTTTGTGTTCAGAGATGCATTACCAGCTGCTTCACTCTCATTCACAGGCTCTCAGTCTCATGCGTAAACCACACGTAAATCACCTGTACTGTGATACTATTTAGTATGCAAGAAAAAGATTTAGCACATCCTAAAACAGAGTATGGCAAAAATACCAGGATGTTTTACTGCATCCGGCTACATTCTGCAGTACACAGGTTAGGATGCTTCTCTGGCTATTCTGATGCACAGTCTTCTGCACAGTATAAGATGCGTCACATTGACTGAGCCACAGACAGATGAAAGCTTGATGACAGCTGATAGAAGCTGCAATGACTATAATCAGTCAATCAATCAGTTAAGCTAACAACAGCAGAGCTCTCCAGGTTGACCTCTGTCTCTGGCGAGCTCGGCAAATGGCGTCTTGTTGCATCTCGAAGGTAATGTTAGGTGATAACATTAACATCTGCTGTGTTCTAACTTTCATATTTTTTCTTTTTACTTTACTCTTTTATCGACTGCAACACATATAAGAGCAAGGGTCAAAGGGTCAAAGTTCAAGGCACATTGTTATGACATAGTAGCATGTCTCAACTGTATGCATACTCGACACAACCATAGCATGTTGCTCTCAGAAGCGGCTGCTGAATAAAGTACGACACCTAGTGGTAAAATTCGGTACATCAGTCTGGTCCAAAGTTTGTTTTAACATCAAACCAGTTTAAAAATTTTCACAATGGCCCAACTGTACTCTCTAGTTTGTTCACAGGCAATAATATACTACATGAAAATTTATTTGTCAAAGTGAAACTGCTTAATACAGATGACACGACAAGTTTCACTAGCATCAGCGTGTTAGCTAATGTCATCGATCCGTGTCACAAAAATACAAAGAATAACGCAGGTGAGGCAGACGGCATGATGACAACCAACTGTTGTATAAAAATCATGTGACAGTAAACATTGATTTTAAAACATTTTATTACAGGCTAAAGTAACTGAGAAGCTAATGCCAAAACACAGTTCAGAAGTGATCACAGAAAGTCTGACGTTACTCTTACTATCTGTGGAGTCACTGCAGCAGAACAACAAATGAACTCACAGGCATCTCTAACTTCATCTGTCTGTGCTCACTTTGTGACACATGATGCCATGTGGTTATTTGATCAGCTGAGGAACAGCTCTATTATTCAGAAACAGCAGAGTAACTTTAATGTTCCAACAAAGAAAAGTCACGGTCCTTGATGATGTTTCCTACAAACATTCATACCTTATTAATAAATAAATAAACCTAAACTATGTTTGATGTAAACAACTCTGTCCATTGGCAAGACACGTGAACTCGTGTGTGTTTAATTCACACAAACGCTGGCCATGCTAAACATGTACCCACTCCCACCGGTGTAAAGTGCTCTGGATAAAAAGTTCCACTGAATGTTGGATGTGATGTGAAGTAAGTGAGCGATCATTGGCGGTCTGCTCCTGACAGACCTGTAGACGACTCTGTCAGGGTAGAAGTCACAGCGCTGCCTCTCCGGGTTCATCAGCTTCACCGTTACAGTCACAGAGTCGGACGTCTGGTACCAACGGAGCAGAGGGTGGAAACTGAAACACAAAAATGTTGTTTAGAGACACTTGTACAGTTTGGATCATCTACTGTAGATTTTAAAGGTAAGACTTACTTTAAAATTTTTATGAACAGTATAGAAAAATTAATGTACAGTGTGTATGTACAGAAGTTGTAGTAGGACAGAATTTTCTTTTAATTTCCATATAGGCCATCTTGTACCTTTTTATGGAGTCATCACAGTCTGTCTCATTAGTGCTGATGACCTCCAGGCTGTTGCTTTGATCGTCACCTGCAAGATCAGGATTACAGAATCTGGATTTGAGGTCTTTGGATATAGGCTGACTACCATGATCATCCCACTTGTATTTTTACCCCTCATCTATTTTTATTTTGTTATTCTTCATGTTGCCTTCAGCACAAGATTATGTTGTTTGTCACTTGTTTTAGACAATAGATGCAATTGTGAATTCACTACAAAAGCAATTCAAAGTTGCTTTGGATGAAAGTGTCAGCTAAATGATTAATGAAATGTCGATGTTGTTCAAACTACTACACAACATTTAACTGACACAGATGTGAGAATGTTGGGAAATATAAGTCGGTTCCATAATGATTCATATCCATCTAGTTGCTTTATAGTACACAATACTATAAGGTACACAATACATATAAAGCCAGAATTGCATGATTTGAGTTGGTCATAACCATCAGTCTGTTCTAACTATTGCAAAAGTTATTTTGTTTTATCCTATGTGAAGCACTTGTGTCATGTGGGTACTGTCCCTCCCCCTTTTTTTCTTTTTCTTTTTGGCTTTGTTGTGTTTTTTGGTTGATTTTTTTTGTATGGTGTTAACTATGTAGGAAAGGACAGCAGTTATACATTTTCTGTTTGCTCAATTGATGAGTTTTGTCTTGGCTGTCTGGAATAAAATAAAAAAGAGTTAAAAAGAAAAAACAAAGTAAAATTATTTTGAGTTACATGTGGGAATTGGTTGGGTCTAGTGATCAGTAGGAATATCTAGGATGTGATAATGTGCTTTGGTATTTATTGTGCTTTGTGTAATATTAACATGTATTTTGTTTACTATTGATTTTGTACGGCAGCTCTTATGATGAGAATTAATGTTGCCTAGGCTATATTTTGTAATCTGACATTCTGGTTTCACAAACTTCAGTTTCCCAGTAAAGTTTATAAAACAAATTGAATGGTGTCATTATCCCTCTGTCCTGCCTGACGGTCGGCATTAGTACACTGTGCAATGTGCCATGTGTCCTACATCTCTCTACATCCACCTTGAATCCATGCTTGATCCACCCTTCCAGTGGGATCAGGATAATCTTGATTTTTAGCTTCTAAACTATCCCAATCTCCACCTTAGAATTTTGAAATACCCAAAAACAGCGTTTGATCAGGATTCTGGGTATTATTGGATTACCAAATCCATATCCGAATTTTACTAGTATCAGGATCACATATCCTGGTTTGAAATACCCAATTGAGATTTAATCCTATCCAGACCAGTCTGATCCAGATTAAAAGTTTTGAAATACTGGGCCCTGGAGATAAATTCTGGTTTTGCATTTAACCTTTCTAAAAGTGGAAGCAGCTACAAAGTCTAGTTTTCACTGTCTACTCTTGCAATGGCTGCTATCCATTTTGTCAGCATCTGGACTTACCTGTTTTTGTGCAGTTGCGGGATTTAATTGGGTCATTACATGTCAAGTCAGATTGAAGTTGTTAACATTTTAGATTTTGTTTAAACTTTGTGTATATGCCGCTTGACATCAAAAAATAAAACACATAGTTTTTTGCCCCTGGGAAATTTTTACCCTAAAAAACATCTTAGACAGGAAGCCATATCTATATCTTCAGACAGATAACTCCTAGAGCTGGTAGGGGCACAAGAGAAACAATGTGCAACAGATCCAGATGATGGAAAGGCATTCGGATGTCGTATTTTTCATTAATGGCCCTTGAAAATGGGTGAAAAAAGGAAGAATGGTGGTTATATGGCGATTAAAACAAGCCAAAGTTCAGCCTTGCTGTTTTGAGATGCCACAATGGTGATGTGTACTAATTCCTAGGACCATGAAAGTTTGTGTAAACAAGGGTTTATATGCAGGCACTTTGTGCATAAAGTAGCAAGTTCCTTCCATGTTGTCTTCATGTTCAAATTTAACAAGAGTTATATTTTTCAGAATTATATTTCAGAAGATACTGAACCCTAAAAAAGTATGACAAAGGTCCCAGGGGCCAAAAATATGCAATCCTTAAAATTCTGCAAAAAGGGTTTTTTGTGTGTTAAGCAGCGTACACATAAAGTTGGAACAAAATCTAAAATGTCAACAAAAAAATCTGATTTGACATGGAATGAGCCTGTGACAGTACATTTAATCATCTGTTTAAGTTGCCTGACAGAGTCACAATAACAAAAGGTGTGACGTATGAGTAATTATGTACCTCTTTATATTTAGTAACATACATGATCAACATACAGCAGGATGCTTCTCAGTTTAAACTCACATGAAGTTTAACTTTTATTTATTTTTACCGTTTTCACAGGGGTTCAGAGGAGCAGGCTGACTGGTCATGGGGGACAGTTCTCCTCCATCTACGATCCTGTGAATCAGAATCATAAAGCTTCTGTTCAGACCAAAGACTGGAGCTAGAGACCTTAAATCCTCTGAGGGACTTACTCTTCTACCTCCTGATGTTTTTAACATTTGTGACTGTTTGAATTAATCGTTGAATGAGCTGTCCCACCTGCTCCCACCTGACCTGGGTGGTGTGCAGTGCAGTGAACTGAAGAGCAGCAAAAATAACCTACAGACCAACATGTGTAACCAGTCAAAAAAAAATTGTTACAAAGGTACTTAAAAGATGGGACGAATCAATAAATGGGACACAATTAAAAAAAGAAATAGGATGAAATGCGTTGTGGCACTGTGAGTTAGTTATCTGCTCTCCAAAAACAGGTGCAGGTTAAATGTTTGTTGGAACGTGTTTGTGATGTCATTTTTGTCTAATCCTAAATATGTGAAGCCTGAACAAACTAATATGATTACTATGAAGACACCAACCTCATCATCTGCTCAGTGTGGGTGTTTGTCTGTCCAAAAGCTGCCTGGCTATCCAACAGACCGTTCTGATCACACACAGGAACCAGGTGGAGTTCAACTGCTGCTGGTGTTGGTGGTGCTGGGACCAGGGACTGGATCACTGAAGATACTGGACTAAGTGGCTCACATGGCTCGAGGTGAGGAAGGTCATCGAGCTGACTTACCTCGGCTGCTCTGAAGGTTTTAGGCAGAACTTCCTCCTCAGCTTTGATCCTGACCTCCAGAGACACCGGACCATCCTCTGACCTACAAACAACAGAATGCCACTTCATTCATCATCAGATTCATTGTCTGACATGTACCCGCCACTTAGTCCTCTACTGGGACAGCTCAGTCAATCAAGTGTTTCCTTACCCAGAACTGTGACTCGTCTGCTTGCTGCTCTCCTGGCAGAGCGCATTCAGCAGGTCCAGATGCTCCGGGTTGCTGACTCCCATCCCAGAGGTTATGATCTCTGACTGCACGCTGTATTCATTGATCACAGTTTTGGTACCTGGCACCCGAGTCATACGGACCTTGAAATCAAAAACGCTAAGTTTACTGCCAGCTGCACCCAAAACACTCCATTCCAACAACAGACTTATCACAGAGGCTGACATTTACTGACAAATCTTTTCATGTACTTTTGACTTCTGGAGAAAAAAAAGGAAAGTCTACCATACCCAAGAAATCAAGTTATTAATTGGACACTTTATCTGTTGATCAGTTACCCACTGACTAACTGAAGGAGGAGATGACTGACAGGTAAAACCTACCATGGGATCAACAAAAACAGTGTTTCCCAGACTTAAAACTGCTCTGGCTCGATGCTGCAGACCGCGGATCTTCTGGCTGATCGCTCTGGTGACCTGCAAGTCAAAAACGTTCAATCACATGTGGGAGCTTTACACAGTTAACTATATATTTGTAAATACTATTGTTTAAATTTCTTATATTTTCATGTATCTTTCCTCTCTTGCAAGGAGCACCTGTAACATAAATAATTTCCCCTCTGGGATCAATAAAGTATTTCTGATTCTGATTCTGAGTTACACTACATGATATCAGTACAAGAAAGACCCCTCCAATGACCTTATTACCAAATAAATCTGAGAAACCCAGAAGGGGATGTATTTATTTATTCATCATATATTTAATATTTTACCTCTACTAATCACATGGTGCAGAGGGAGGCCAGGGGTCAGAATAGTGTTATCAGCAGTAATTGCACAATGAGCAGCGCTGCCACCCAGCTCCCACCCGACTTGGGTGGAGTGTAATACAGAGCGGGGATAGCTAGCTAACCAGTGTAGCATGAATACCTTATTCTCTCGTTGCTGCACATCATAGAGCTTGAGCTACTACTAAACTGAAGAGTAGCAAAATTAACCAATACAGCAAATCACAATGTTTATTTACAAAAACATCCAGGTTGAAAATCCTCCCGTCAAAGTGCTGAGCAAATGCTGCCTCAGTTAGTTTGTTTTTGGCCACCTAGAAAAGGCCCACCAAAAAAATTAATATCAGTTTAAGTGTAAGTATATTTAAAATATTTTTACTGCATTACCTGGCCATCAGAAAGCCTTTCCTGACAGGGAATTAAAGTCGTTATATCAATGCCAAAAGCTCCACTGACAAGAACAGTAATTTAACTTTAAGTCTGCTAGTTTCAAGGTTCCTACACATTTGGAATTTCAAAATTCCATACTTTTCCATACCCTAATTTCCAGACTTCTCTGCATTTTTTTTTCCCCAGAGAATATGCGACATCTGAGTAAATATATCAGTGTATCATATTTCACATCATATTTAATTACTCTTAATAGGCGATTGTAGCCAAGTACCATAATGGCATGCAAATAAAAACTCAGGTAAGTTCAATGTCTGCAAAAAGGTTGGGACTCTGGGTGCAAGCGATGCAGTAACGAGACGTCGGTGTTTTTTCCTTTCACGTGGCTCAGAATCGCCTTCTCCCCCATGTTGGCGATGTCAAACGATTTCACACAAAGCTTGCATCTAGCTCTGTGTGTGAATTGGGAATCCTTGGCCAACCAGTACTTACATACGGTATTGTCAAGCCATCCATCCAAAAACTACAAAATCTACCCATTGTGACCCACGTGAAACTCGTCCTCTTGTCGAAGGTGCAGTGTTGGAGTGAAACTTGATACCTGGGGGGCTGGACGAGGGTCATGGGGCAGCAGACTGGACATACCACTTGTCAATCAGGTAAAAGGGGCGGTATGTTTTCTGAGACGTTTGCTCTCACACAAACTGTGCTTGGCCCGGCATAAAACACAATACGGATTGATTAAATTAATTTTGGAAATACCTAATTTTCTATTTTAGAAAACAATATTTTAGAACAGTGGTAATAGTCTGGAAACATAAATATTTTTCCATACTTTATTTTTCATTTTCCATACTTTTTAATACCTGGAAATTGATCAAATTTATTTCCATACTTTTCCATACTTTCCATACTTGCGTAGGAACCCTGTAGTTTACTGCGGCCACTATTTATTAGTGTGTTTTTTCTGTGCCAGTGGATTTAGTTTATCAGAGATTATAGCAAAGCAACAGATTACATTAAAGGAGCACAGCGGAAACATCAGATACCTCAGACCACCATGTTTATCCATGTATCAGTTACAGCTGAAAACAACAACAGAAATAAACAAGTTTGCCAATTTTTCATAGCTCAGCAACTGTTATTTGCTGCCACCTGCCTAACTGGAAGTGATTATTGCTGTTAGTGACATTGATTCGGTCTATAGACCAACGTGTGTAATATTCCAAAATATTCTCAGTGGTTAAGCAATTAATGGTTAACTGTTGCCATCTTTGCTCTTAATGTTCACACAATTACTCCTATTGAACACCTGTAGCTTGTATGAACTCAGACTGTGGCTGATAGAGATGATCAAATATAATTTTTTGAGCTGCAGTGTTTGTAGAACATTTTCTGGGTCATGCGGCCACTGTAAGTACACTTTAACAATACCTGACATCTGTATTTTTAAACTAGGAATAAAATAATAGTGTGTTGTTAGAGCAAAGTGAGGAGGTGAGCAGGAAACCTTGGGGTGCCAGTCGATCTCTGCGTCGACAGGTTTGACCCGGCAGACGATGATCTCGATGGCCTGGCCGGGCAGAGAGTGAAACTGCTCTGGGAGCTGCAGGATCTGATGGGATTTGACCTCCTCCTCCTTTCCCACATCAATGAACCGAACCAAGACGCTGAAAAACAGCCGGTCACCACGGTCTGGGACTGATAGGATCTTCACCCTGCCACAAGGAGCACACAGTGACAATTCATACATTAGAAGAAATTTAATCAAAATCTAATTTCCAGAAAAAAACTCCTAACTAGCCAGGAACCTCATTTAGCAAAGACATTAACTAACTAATACAGTGGTTACTTGCCTGCTCTGTTACACTTACAGATCATCCTGATAAAAAGAGACAACATTTGGTCTTTAAGTGCCGTGACTGTAAATCTCCTCCAGTGTGATTATCACCCCTTAAATTGTATTCAGATTTCATGTCTGACCTGTGGAAGACGTCGTCCTCCTGCACAGTGTACAAGCCTCCCTCCAGCATCTCCTCGGCTCCAGGTTTCTTGTCAGCATAGTAAGAAGTCATCTCAGACGCCATGCTCTGGAAACCTCCATCCTCATTCCTGACGATACGACCGTAGAACACTGATGCTGTCTTAATATAGAGAGGCACCACCTGAAAGCATCGGACACAACACAGCCAAAAATTTACTACAGTTACAAGAGGTGGAGTTTGGTGTAGCAACAGATGATGAACACAGTGGTTGCTTGATGGAAACTATTTTGTATTTAGTTTTTGTGATTATGAATAATGATGACGACCAAAAACTGAAGAGGGGAAAACATACAGTGAGCTTGTGCTTCTGATCAGGATAGATGATAGAACAGTGACCCTGATTATGACTTTAAAGAATGAGATTTAAACATAGAAACACCATGAGCAACATTAACAGTAAACTAATGTTTGTACAATTTGTTTATGTGTAACTGAAAAACTGAAAAAGTCTAAAGCTCTGTAAAGCAGAAGATTTTGACGGCCAGTTAAAATGAAAAGTTGACACGACAGAGTAGAGACAAAGATGTGAACGTCCTCACTTCTATGACTCCCGAGGCAGGAAGCTCAGATTTATCCAGCTGGGAGATGAATCTGTGACGGTCAGGACACACACTGCTGTCTCTGGAAAAAAACCCACACAGAATCACATTGTGTGTTCATTTTTATTCTATTCTAAAAAGACTGAAAATCTGTAATGAACCAGAAAACTATTTTTTTGCCCTCAAAATCCAAGCATTGCAACAGGTCTCCTTTAAATCCTCACATCTGAGAAGCTGCAGCCAGATCATGTTTGGCACTCTGACTAAAGACTTCATGGATTCATGCACTGTCATATGTGCTGATAATACTGAGCAGGCCATACAGCTGAATACATTTTATTCCAGTCTTTACAAATTAAAATAAACCACACAGCAGTTCATCATTTGAAGAAAAGCCAACCTGCAGACTCCAAAGCTCTTGAGGTAGCTGCAGAGAGGCTTGTTGGTCTTCTGGTCCTCCCGGGCCACACGGATGCCTTGAGCGAAGGACAGCAGCTCAGGAGGCAACAGAGCGTTTGTTCGCTCCAGGTAACGCAGAACCCCGACTACATGACAGGCGTTCCTCTCAGAGATCAGCAGCACCGACCTGGTGAGATGACGACTCCCTGTCTGATCCTGGTCCATGGAAACCTTGGAAAAGAAACACGTTTCATCCAGCCTTTTAGCTGCAAACGTGGATGAAACTGTCATTATGTTAATGCAGCTACTGCATGTATCTCCTCTGTCTGTTCTTACTCGTGTAGAAAGGTTTCTGAAGTTCTCGGCCATGCAGAGGAGTCGGCTACCGAACACTTTGGGGGAAATGGGGAAGCCATAGTGGACAACGCAAGTCGCATCTCTGATTCCCAGACACTTCAGACACTCATTGGTGGTCACTAGAGGTCAGAAGTCAAACATAAAAAAACAGCAGCACTGTTAATATTCAGTAAGGAGTTTCAGTGAATGACTCTAAATGTCTTCACTGTTGATTACACCTCCATGTTAGCAGTTTCCTCATATACATGTTCAGTTTACCCAGGATAACGTGAGTGCCGGGGCCGATGTCTTTTCTCCACTGCTGGATGACGAAGTCAAACAGGTATGTTGACTGTTCGTGGGTTTTGAGGCAGAAAGCTGATTTGCTGCTCACAGCCTGAAGATCAGAAAAGACACTGGTTAATTTAAGGTAAACTTCCCTTTGGGTTCTGTTTTCACCATCAGTGCACTGCATCTGAAGATTATACATGTGGATGGAAGGTAGAAATGATGGGAGAGTTTTCTGCCTTGCTAATAAGAGACCGTCTCTGCTGTCATTGAAAACAAAAGTTATCTTGTCTTGTTGGTGTATTCTGTTGCAAGTATAATGTGTCTCTCGATTTGTTAGGTGGCCAATTTGGGGCAAACACAAACTCACACAACTTTCCATTATTATAAACACTCTGTACTTCACAGTAGGACGAGACACTAAATGTATAGGAATGTTAAGCATGACTGAAGTTGTTGTTTCACCTTGAACACATCTTCAGCTTCCTGAACAGAATTAGCTACGATCAGAGTCTTCTGGCCGACATCAGGGTTGAAATCCAACGCACCCAACAGTACTGAGGCCTTACTGCTCTCCAGAGTCATGAGGATGATCTGTAGGAAGACAGATATTTCCTCAAACTGAGACTCTCATCAGACATTTGAACACTGATCTCAGTATTTACCCCTTTTCCAGCAAAATTAGCACATGTATACTGTTTTTTTAAATGCAGGAAACCCATTAAATAGGCAATAGATTCCTCTCCCACTGCCGGTAAACCAGAGCCGTGTACACAGCTCTGCAGTGGACAAGTATGTCTTTCTGTTCTTTTTATCCTGATGTGTCACATTCAACGTCATGGATGGGTCAGAAAACAGGTTAGTAACAGCAGAGAGCAGCATGGAGGTGATTACTTCTTGAAACTGTTGTGATTTTGAGTTCATAATTTTAACATGATTGTTTATAAATAACTTACCTTTTGCATACATGATTGTGATAATATTGCTATGTACAGTATATAATATGCTGAGAAGTGTATTTACATTTATTTGGTTTAATTGCACCCCCTGCTGTTATGTTTGAGTATTGCAATGAGTGTGGTGCGTAGAGGTCATGTAATCAAAAGCGTCAAGTTAGTGGGAGAGGAAGGAGACGAGAGCAGGAGTGCTACAAAATGTCCAAAGGGTTTAAAATGAATCAAGACGGATTCACGTTCTGCTAACTACTTCCAAATTCCAGTTCAGAAGGCGAAACGGTGTGTGTGACCATGTATATTTTATTGTGTATTTGTGTTATTGATCTGTAATATATATTTCATATTTGGGATTGACATTCAGAGCTAGCGAGTCTGGGTTAGCTAATGTGAGAGGGACAATGGTAGGTTAATGGCAGCTTTGTGTCGCATGTAATTATTGTAAATGTGATTGTGATTGTGTATATTTTGTGTTACAGTTTTTCACCGCAAAATGGTGTTCACACTGTGGATTGGAGGAGAATAAAGTTGTGGAACACTGGCTGGTTGACTTGTCAAGTCTGTCTGAACTAGAACAAAACATTTGGAAGCAGTGACACTTCTTTTTACACATCTCCTTCTTATTCAGTCTCACTCAAACTTGCTGCAGACTTATGTGGATCAGTGTGTGAGTGCTGCTTGGATGGAGACAAATAGTATTTTGTGCTGGTGCGTTATTGCATCGCCCTAACAGAGAGCCAATAAATACCTGTGACCACTGTAGAGTCATTTATCCCAAGAGTGAATGCCAATTTGCAACCCTTTTCATTAAATACAAAAGCCAGATGTTAACAGGTGTTAGCTGGTTCTTTGTGCAGTGGGAAAGGGGACTACAGTCTCGACTACAACTTGTGACAGCAGCTTCACTGCATATCTTATATGTACGTACTCCTACAGTCAGTTTAGAACATGTAGACGTAAAACTTTCTGCTGTTATCAGACAGTCTGGAGTCATTCAGAATTATTTTGACCTTGAAATAAAGACATTAACATATTAATCAACCACATTATTTCTGGATTTCAAGGCTTGACTTTGGATCTTGATTATTATAAAATCAACTCAAAAAGAAAATAAGATCAAGATTATCAGATTAGATTTATCGGTTTTAATAATATAAATAATAATAATAATATATAATAATATTTTGCATTTAAAAACCAAAGTTAAACAATGGTAACAACATAAATTTGTAACTATAGATTCTTTATTGACACTCACCTGCTGAACGTCACCATAGAGAGCAGCTTCCTTAGGGACAGTCAAGAAAATGCAGGGGTATGGCATATGATTGGCTAATAACCCCTCCATGTGACTGGTCCATCTTTTTGCCACGGCTACAAGCTGCTGAGGACAGGATGCCTTCTCCTCGCTGGACGTCACCTTCTGGAAATGCTGCAGGATGGTCGCCATCTGACAGAAGAACATTCATTATAATAATGAAATGTGTAGGAAAGTTTTATTTGTGTGGAAAAGAAAAACACATCAATGCAACCACAACAGAATCATGAAAATAACAGTATAATTTCCTAAACTAAAATGTAACAGCCTGTTACTGTAGCTCAGGAGACGTTGAGTGTGAATGATGCGTCACCTGATCTGGAGCCAGAGTAAAAAGCTGGTCAGCCTCATCCAGCACGAGGTGGTAGAGACGCAGGAACAGGAAGCAGTGGCAGGACAGCAGGCGGACCAAACTGAAGGGAGTGGTCACTAACAGCAGGCCTGGTTAAAAAACACATATAATATTTAGGAAATTATTTCACTACTTTAGTTAAGTGGATACTTCACTTACTAAATGATCATCAGTGTTGTCTGGAATTCGTTGAGGAAACTTTCTTTTCACACATGCCTCCAAGGTAGATGAAGAATTGAAAAAAAGTGAATAGTCTTCATGAGTTGAAGAAAACGGGGACTGCGTTTAACAACAACAAAACTATATCACAACAATACATCTCATGCAGTAAAATCAAAGTCTCATTTATCTGATCAATGGCTCAGTACTTTCCAGACACATGCATTTTAGCTAAAACCTTAATATAAAAAAACACTTCCACCTAGAAGTGTGCCGTAGTTCAAACACAAGTGTATGTAACACATGGTGAGTTACTGATGTACATATGATCACTGTGCAGGTGAAGTATCTTTTAAGGATAATCTCACCTATAACCACATAAATGCATTTGGGGGATTTTCTGTAATAACCTTCAGCGGATCACAAGCAGACTGAGATGACTAAGATTGCGCTTTGCTCACAGTTTTTGGGGATCCTGACATCCTTGGCTTCGTTTTTGCCGATGCCCAGCAGCACGATGAAAGGGTGAAGGACTGAGGTGATCTCCATCTCCTCCAGCAGGTCATACACAACCTGAACCTTCTCCCAGCCTGGACACAGCAGCACCACCACAGGCTGGACATCGATAGACAGCACAGATCAAAAAATTGGTCTTACACTAACTAAATGACTGACAATCAAACAGTGGTGCTGCATGAAGGGATGTGTGATCCAGAACATAAGAGAGTAATAGTGTATTTTATTGTAGTGATGTTTAATACAAGATTCCACTCTAGAAAAGTCATTTTGATCCACTTTAATAAATGTCCTTCTGCCTGGTGTTGATGTACTCACCCCTGCGCTGGAGGTGAGGGAGGTGAAGATGGTGTTGAGTAGGATGTGGGTGAGGAGCGGGCCGAGGTAGCTGAGTGGCTGGTCAGCATTATGGGAGACGATGACGGTGTTGAACCCTTGAGCCACAGCTGGCCAGCTGCAACAGTCAGCTGGAGACAAAGAGCTGTACTGCTTCCTCCGCAACACCTGGAGACAGACCGGTTGCAGGTGGAGTTTAAACATGTCGCTTGGTTTGGGTGTGAATAAACAAATAACAGTCTCAGTCTCTTTTGCCCTCCTTCTATAAAGCTGAACTCATCGCCACCTTTTGTGTCAGTGAGCACGGTTGCATGCGCACAATAATCAGATAACTGGGAATAATCAGGTAATGGTAATAATCCGACTTGACGCGTTTACATGCACTTCAATAATGTGATAATCAGAAAAGCCTGGTTTACATGATTCAGTCCTTCAGTTGGATTTCTCCCCAAGTACATGACATAAAACTCAAACTTCCTGTTATAGTAGGTACTCATATCCTTGAAAAACCTCGAAAAGTACGCAAGTCATATATTTGCAAAATAAAGCACTCATCATGCTGACATCTTATATTCTTACAGTACTGTTTGTTTTTATCATTAACAAATACATGTGAGAGCATTCTAATGTGTAGTTTATCAATGTGGAGCCAATTTTACATACTTTGGGTAGATTCGGAGTAAAAGTACTGCAAAGTGCAATATACAAGTGTATTGTATATAAACTTGTCACACAAAGTGCATAACATATAAGTAAGATAAAATAAAAGTGACAATTTAAACACTGAGAATATAAAAATATATTATTTTATGTAAAATCTTTATCTGAAAGGAAACAAAAGCTGTCAGATTAACGTAGTGGAGTAGAAAGTACAATATTTCCCTCTAAAACGTAGTGGAGTGGGAGTATAAAATAGCAAAACCCGAAAGAAACCAGATTAAAGGGTATACATGCACCGAATAATCTGACTATTGGGGAAAAAGCTGTGTGTATCTATCTGATTTCTCATAATCAGATAATGGCTTTTATCTGATAAAGCCTATCGGATTATGCTGTTTACATGACCACTTGAATAATCAGGTAACTCCAGAAATCAGATAATGATCGGTTTATTAGTGTGCATGTAAATGCGCTCAGTGACTGTCGCGGCAGACCAGGGGGAAGGTCACTGTTGGATTTGCAGCCCTTCGTCACTCGCCACTGCTGCCAGGACTTCGACACTGCCAAAAGCCATCCAGGGCATCCAAGGCTACCACTCGCAGAGAGCGACTGGCACCCGGAAGTGCTTCAGCTGCAGTTTGGAGGGAAATCCACTGAGGCAGGCTGTGGGGGCAGCTGTGGTCGGTACTGGCAGCTTCTTAACATCATCATGTTTGTCGACAGCCACTACTTCATCAACCAACCTATGGCCTTCTTGCCAAGTGGTTTTGAAAGCTCCAGGTCTGGTGATGGATCATTTACATGCTGTATACGACAATACATTCTGAATAAACCTGCTTTTCCTCCAATTTCATGACGCTATTAAGATGCTAACTGTGTCTGTTAAAGCCCAGAGGGGTTGAATGTCCAAAATAAATAAATAAATAAATAAATCTTAGTTCAAAACTTTGCCAAAGATAGATTTGCTAAATTAAAGTGTTGCACCACACAAGCAAGCAAAAACACAACTACAGTGAGTGGAGGACGAGACATAGAACATGGACAACATATCTGTTAGTTAAATGAAAATGCTGTTTTAATAATGGTGGAAATCAGAGTTACAGTGTGCATCCTCACACTAGTTCTGGTGACAGCAAAGATTGAACAGACAACATCATTACACATAAGAACTATTGTAGATCTGAATGAATTCACCTGAAACATCAAAAAAACTGAAAAGATTTATGTTTACATTTTACAAATAACTCAATGCAGCTGAAGTTATGAAACCATGGAGCAGTGTGCTGGTCAAAATGACCTGACATGGTCAGTTTGGCAGGTTGTTTCCTACTCACTCTTAACTGCATGAATTCTGTTCTGAAACACGTTTCTCCATGCATGCCTAAATATATAAAAAACAAAGAAAACTGCCTTTATAAAGGCTTGTTTTATTACAGACATCCTCAAGTTCCCTTAAATTTGGAACTTGTAGTTTCTTCTTCCTTTAAAGCACTTTGTAACATCTCTTTTGTAAAGTACTATAAAAACTAGAAGAGTGCGCTCAGTGCAGGGCAGGCTGTGTGTCCAGTGTGTACGTGACAGTAGTGTAGTGAAGGGGAGACGATGTGCAGGTTACATTATCAAGGTGTAACCAGAGTAGACGGGCTATATGTAGACAAGGCTGGGACACAATATTCATTAAAACCCCGGTAGCACCAAATAATGTAATAATTTCCCTAAATTTTATTAAAATTTGCATCTAACCTGATCGAAGACGTAATAAAACCCAATAATAATAATGAAATCTCCTGACTGATATTGTAATCAAACTTTTACTCATAATGTAATACTTTTTGGGTTGGTCTTTTTTCCCCCCACAAATGACAATGTAATCATTTTGAAAGACGGTGTCATTGTGGTGCCAGTTTATCACACTGCTATGATCCACTGATTCAAGATGAATAAATCCCTGCTTTGCTTTTTGTCACTGCCATGTTGATTTTAAGGGAGCCATCGGACACAGCTGCATCACATGCATTGTCTAGAGAAGCCGCAGTGGGCTCCAGCAGCCATGTTGCAGGGGGAACAAAGCTGTCTGGCGCAAGATCTACTACGCACTCTACTGAGTGCACTTTTCTAGTCTGCAGTAACATTAGGTTCTGTATCATTAGTATTTTTTCATAATTTTTAAGACCTAGGAAAGCAATTCTTAATTTAAATAAAATAACCCTATTATTAACAGTGAAACAATATTCATAACAAACTATTTTCAATTAACCCTTTATGTAAAGGTCCCTTGGAGAATGTTATTTCAGGTTTCTTAAGTTTTTTCTTATTTTCATGTCAAAATAGCCTCAAACAAAGTCAGTGTACACTCTTGTTTACCCTGCGGAGAGTATCCGTGACGGGGGCATCGTCCAAACTAGTGCAGGGCTCCATTGGGAGGGCAGAGTGCACCAGAATCCCACTCTTTCTGGGATCTCTGGGAACAACCTGAGGACAGTCAGGAGGCAGAAACAATTTTTTTTTTCTCCTAATTTTGCCATAAGTGACCAAAACATCAACTTCAGTTTATGTCACATTTTAGGGTTTCCAACAGTCGAAGTCGAAGAGGTGAGTCATCTCAGCTGAAATAAATAGTATCTCCATAATGCACTTTATAAAGCATGAACCTCCCGGGGAAAAACGCTGAGGTGATACTGTGCACAGCAAATGCTATGTAAAGAAATGAATGTTCTTTTTTAGGCCATCATCCACTGACTAAACTGACAAGTATTTACAGGGGGCCAAAATAACAGCTTGATGGATTCAGTCTGTTTTGGGGTTCTTGGGTTGCCAACACATCAAGTACCAACAACTCAGCAAAGGTTAGACTGAACTAAGAAAACCTACCGCATCATCTGCAGCATCTGGATCGGGGTTCAGAGGCTCCGGGTTCAACCACTCCAAAAGGCTACATCAAACACAACAGCCAGAATTCAAAAACCTTGGACATCATTGGTATTGAAACATGCACAAATTTGCAATAGTTGCGACCATGTACATGCATGCATCCACTCACTCATGCCAACCTCATTAACTGTTTATAGCACAATGATGCCTCCCTACGACAACCATTTCCTAAGTTATGAAAGGAATCATGGCAACATGATGTGTGTGTATGTGTCTTTCTATAAAGTTTGGTCATGTTTCGTGAATCTGTTTGGAAGTTGTGTGTCTTCCTGGTAAAGATCACTGTGGACAGACTGAGCAAAAACACAAGAAATTTTCAGGTGTTTTTACCACCTATGAAAAATTTTGCCTTGGATGCTATTTAAAAGTTTTTCTTTACACAATCATACATCTTTTTAAATCAAGATTTTGTATGGAATTACTCTCAGCTATTAACTTTTAGGTGAGACAAGATGTTCATTGTTATTTTCAGTTAGCACTCTCCCATACCATTTTATCTTTGTTGATGCTACACTAACTCAACACTGCACATTTGTTTGTTTGTTAATCTTCCCTCCCTGAGCTGCAGCTCACCGTGAACAGGCCCAGTCCTCTTCAACCCTCCACGTCTTCTCTGTTGGTCCTGACTCCACTGATCTGCTCGAACTGCTCGAACTGCTGAACAATAAAGAGACAGGGCAGAGGCCATCAGCTCAGACACACACTAACTCCAGAATCAGAATGTGCCTGGTCTGCACTGTAATGTGGTCAGGCTGTAACCGATATGAGTTTCATGTTGTTTTTTTGTTGGGTGAGTAAATGTGTTTGAGTATAAATGTTCACTGCTCTAAAAAATTAGGGGAACACTTATTCGTCACAGTCTAACGCCAAGTCAGTAAAACATGAGGGATATCAACCTGTCCATTTAGGAAGTACAAGTGATTGTGAATCAGTATCACCTGCTTTGGTGCCCCGTTCTCTCCACAGATGAGAGCAGGTTCACACTGAGCACATGTGACAGGCGTGAAAGAGTGTGGTGAACGTTATGTGGCCTGCGACATCATCCAGCATGAGCAGTTTGGCTGTGGGTCAGTGATGGTCTGGGGAGGCATATCCTTGGAGGGTCACACAGACCTCCATGTCATAGCCAACGGTACCAGGATGAAATCCTCAGAGGGATTGTCAGACCTTACGCTGGTGCAGTGGGTCCTGGGTTCCTCCTGGTGCAGTGGGCCCTGGGTTCCTCCTGGTACAGGAAAATGCCCGGCCTCATGTGGTCAGAGTGTGTAGGCAGTTCCTGGATGATGAAGGCATTGGTGCCATTGACTGGCCCTCTCGTTCCCCTGACCGGTGCATCTGCTGCTGCCAAGTACCACCACAGACTGTCTAGGAGCTCACTGATGCCCTGATCCAGGTCTGGGAGGAGATCCTGCAGGACACCACCGCTGACTCATCTGGAGCATGCCCAGACGTTGTCAGGATTGTATACAGGCACACGGGGGCTGTACACACTACTGAGTCACATTATGAGTTGCCATGATAAAAGTGGGCTGATGATTTTGGTTTCCACTGGCCACTGTTACATCATTTTGTTCTCTACACATTATACAAAGCACATTAGTAAAGATTTTCAACTTGAATAATTCGCTCATGAAGATCTGATGTGTGATCTAAGTGTTCCCTTAATTTTTTTCAGTAGCCTAGAGCAACGAGTCAAATTACGCAGGAGCACAGTAAATATTTCCTTCCCCACCTCCCTCTGTAATTTTAATCCTGTCCGAATGGCTCATTAGTAAATTAACGGAGTTGTTGAAGGTGTGTTGGCTGCGTACACTTCCTGTCCTGTATAGATGCTGGAGGCTGCAGTCGACTCTTCAGGTTGACAGTCTTTTAGCTCTTCATGCTGACTCTCCTGGAAAAAAACAAAACAACCAAACAAGCTTTTGGTTCTAGATTCATTGTTAAGGAATCACTAACCAATTTGAACAGGTGAAACACAGTAATCTCAAGTCTGAGCTCCACACTTTTAGCCCTGATTTTTAACTCACTGACAGTTTTTGTTGACGAAAAGTGAACACAACATTCGACAGTCATGTAATGTCATCAGTGCAGCAATGTGACGACTTTTAAAGTAAGAAACACGACAGCCACATGTATGAACTCCAATACAAAAATTAAAAAGAAGAAGAAAGATAAAAACATCAGGCCTTCAGCAGTTTGAACCCCTGTAGATATGACTTACAGTTTTGTGAGGTTGTCCAAAGATTAGATTACATGTTAGAAAATGTGCTTCAGCTTCAGTTCTAAAACCTTTGCCATTTAGCTTGAAGAACACTTCTTGTGCTGTGTATGTACTCACACTGGGAGCCGCCTGCTGGTAGCTGCTGGCGGGATTCAGAAACTTCAGGAACCTGTAGGGTACAGGAAGTGCTCTGTCACTATCAACAAGTCATACTAAAACAGACATGAAATGTGTTGTTGGTTTCAGACAATCAGAAAGGTTCTGTATGTGACTGAGGTCAATTCTCACCTGAACAGATTTAGGTTTTTGGTGAGAGCTGCAGCCAGAGACGAGTCTGTATCCTCTGACGAGTCACTGAGCATGAGAGCAGGTCAGTAAACTTAAATTTATATTTTTTTAAAATACATATACTAAGACATCACTCTTCAATACTCATTTCTCTGTTCAACAATGAACTGTTGAACTGAATCAAATGTGTGCTCACCTCTCTGCAGCAGCAGCCGCGTCTGAGCCATTCTTTGACTGACGGCCCGGAGACAGGTGTTCATCTGTGACCTCTGACCTGCTGCCTTCGTCACAGGTCTTCAGCTCATGTTGTGGGCTCTACAGCAGCAGAGAGGTCAGAGGTGAGGCTGTGCGGATATTTACCGGAGAATTGACAGTAATGCAGTGAGCAAAGCTGCTGACCTGAGGTGAAGAGGGAGCTGCCAGCCAATCACCTGCTCTGTCTGCACCCAGACTTTGTGACATCACTGAGGGTTGAAACAGTAAGACTCAGTGAGAATACAAACGTCAAACAGAATCACAGCACTATTTCATTTCTTAAAATTAGATCTTGAAAAACATCGCTGAAAACAAATCTCAGTTTGGACATGTAATTGACATGAATCCAAGCTGATCACAGCTGCTGTGCCTATGAGGAACTAAAATCCAAACTTTCAACAACAACCTTTCACAAAAATAAGAACTGTTTTCAATCATATCACATAATAATCAGCAGATGGACTTTTCCCAGCTGGTCCTCAAATGTTTAGATTCCCTTATTTTCTGGATTTGTTTTGTCTACATGAGCTTTAAAGTTCTTAAAACTTACATATAATCCAAATTAGAATCTTTGCAGTTATATGACAATTAAGGAAAACTCTGCAAAACATCTTGTGATTTGAGTGAAAGCTCCACAAACACTATCGAATGTACCTCAGGGTGAGACTGTTTTGTCAGTTGCTGTTTTCAAGGTCAAGGATAAACTTTGAAACTAAAAATCATTACAGTTTACAGATGGTTTAGTGAGCCATGTACATGTCTGCGAGGCTATGACCACAATTTATGACCTGACTGCACATGTGGACGTTCCTACATACGCAGTGTAAACTACTGCTGTCCATCTAGTGTGGATATGATTAACTATCCTGAACAGGAGGTCAGTCTGTGTGTTTACCGTGAGGCTGTTGGGTTTGTGCTGATGACTTTTTTGAGTCAGTCTGGGTTAAGATACTGGAAGGCAGCATGTAGGGATATTGGTCCACCTCTTCCAGCCCGCAGTTGTCAGCTGACTCTCTGCTGTAATATGCAAACTTCTTGGCCACCAGATCGTCGTTCACACATATCTGAAAAATCAAGAAAACCCTGATGATTCTTCTTTTTGTGTTACAATACAAGCTCTGATAACAAACTGCACAAGGAAATCTGAGTACAAACACACAACACAATATACAGTAACTGACAAACAAGCAAGAAATAAAAGATGGGTGGATGAAAACGTTTTAGTTTTAAAGCAGCAAATTCGTGTATGATCTTCTCTGTATTTATGTGTTTAAACTAAATGTCTGAGGATCTTTTATTGAATTAATATGACTTGCTAAATCCTGCACTGAAAGTCGAAGTTCACCTTGATGTTTCGTACAGTCAAGTAGAGCTCAATGGAGGTGGAGTCTGACTCGGACTCTAACAACACGGCCTCTGACAGAGTCGATGCTGATGGAAGGAAGCAAACTTTCAAAGTGACTCCTCAAGATTGGAAATACTTTTTAACACCGGTCTCACAGCAGTTTAGAGCAAATCAAATGTTGCTTTTAAGATGTAAAATCTACAGGAAAATAACACAGCTGTTTATCTATCTTCCATGTGGGTCACCTTGGAGCAGGTTGTGCAGGTAGAGTGTAGCGGAGCTGTCCCACCGAGTGGACGGACTGCAGAGGAAAGAATAAAGCATCAAGCTGAATTTATGTCACAGTATAAATATCTGTAAACTTCACAACACAGAGATAAAGTGGGTTTGTAGAAAAATCACATTTCTAAGGACTGTGGATATATCCTATGGAGTGTGCATCATGCTTCACAAAACCATCAACAATTCAGTCGTAAGGTGTGAGCTTGTCTTACATGAGTTTTGCCTTCTCCTCAAAGACAGACACTCGCAGGGTTTTTGGTTTGATTCTTGCCAGGTGGAACTTCCTCACCCAGTAAGGCAGCTGGAGGAACCTTTGCGCAACAACTTGGATCCTTGAACCAAGAACACAAGAGTTACTGATCAAACAGCACAGACATACAAATATCTTTCAAGTCTGCAAACTCTTTCACTATTAAAGTAGTCTTTTGTTTGGACTAATTTAGCAAAATGGCAGGGGTCAAGTGTTGAGAAGGACTGGCACAGTTCTGGCTTACTGGTCTGAGGGGACAATGAGTCGTTCTCCGTGGTCGACCAGGAGGCAGTGAGCCTGACAGGACACCGAGTCCATAATGATCGACTCCACCACAGCTCGACACCATGATTTTATCACTGACCAGTACACCACACACACCTGAGAGAACATACACAAAAGGGTTATTACAGTTAATGAAAACTGAAACCAACAGTAAAAAAACATTTTGTTAACCACGATAAAAAATTTAAACAACAAAAAAGCCCCCCAAGAAATCTAAATGGAAAACTACAATGAACAGTGCAACACAAACTAAAAGGAAACAGATCTGTGGGTAAAATCAGCTTTGTTTCTCCTGTTATTTAAACTGTGGTTGTTTGACTTCTTCCAATCCACCTGCAGCCCAATCAAAATGTCACAAGAACACAACCCATATCTGAATCAGGTGTGTAAAAATACAGGTGAAGAGAGACTGCAGGTGTTACCTGTCCCTCCTCTAACGATGTGGGCTTCAGCTTGTGCAGGTCCTGGGTGACATCGTGGTAGAAGAGGTTCATTTGAGCCAGCAGATTGTCGTACTGGTCTGTGGTCTCTGCATCACCGCCGGTAAGCTGAACAACCCGACCCCAGAGGCAAGACGGGCTCTCAACCTGTGGAGGCCAAAAAGAAGTGTTTCAAGAGAAACCACAACTAGGTCAAGTTTTACAGATATACACCCAAAATATTAAAAACCAATGGCGGGTAAAGTGAATAACATATGATATGTTTTTAAGTAACTAAATTTACCAAATAAATGTAGCGGAGTAAACAGTTTAAATTTTACTTCTGAAATGGAGTGGTGGAGTCGAGGTATAAAGTAGCACAAAATAGAAATACTAAAGTAAAGCACAAGTACCTCCAAACGGTACTCAACTCAATGTACCTGACGTTTCCACCACTAGAAATTACACAAACTAACTGCAACCTAATAAAGCAACTTTCGGGTTTTGTTTTTTGTCTTTATCTTAACTAAATACAGCAGAGGAAGAAGTATTCAGATCTTTTACATTAGCAAAAGAAGCAATACTACAGTGTAGAAATACTGTAAAACTCCAATTAATAGCCCAGGCTATTATTTGCTTAACTCACTGAAATCAACAGGCATATATTTGGGACAGGCCTTTTATTTCTTTCAAACAAAACTTTTGCTCAGCAAAGATCAGGAAACATAATCTAATTGGTAATTTAAACCAGTATGAGTATTACCTGTTTAAAAATTAGGCTTCAGATAATATATCAATTATGAATCATTCATTTGATCTCACTCTGACAGACGGAACCCAGTACACCAACACAACACCACTTTATCCTGTTAAAACCATACTCATTTATTTCTGTGAAAAAACCCTTTTGATCTGACGACCCATACGGACTAAAGGAATAGGAATAACTCACAGGGTAATCTAGGAATGGACACATAATTTAAGATAGCCAACAACCCAATTTTATACATCCAAAGAGCTTTTACAAAAACATGCTTGGCAACCAGACCAGGCCTCTAACTGAGACAGGCATTTGTCAAAATGTGTAGCCACACAGGGCTAGTAAAAGGGTTTAGGCATTTATTTGGGATTAGGCTTTTAAACAGTACTCTATTACAAGTGAAGGTTCTGTATTCAAAATTTTAATTAAAGAAAAGTGCAAAAGTTTCAATATCAAAATATGCTTACAATGCTAATAGTAAATGTACTCATTATGCACACTGGCCCGTTTTAAAAAAATAAATATCATATTGTTGAATTATAATTATTTATTCATTATAGTGTTCATCATTTAATGTTGCAGCTGGTAAATCTGAAAAAAATTACTTTATATACTAGCTTAATCTATAATAATACATCACAATGTATCTATATTTTGAATTAATAAACTAAATCCACAAAGTAACTGAAGCCATAAAATAAAATGTAGTGGAGTAAAAAGAACAATATTTGCCTCTAAAATGTGGTGAAGCAGAAGTATAAAAGACAGAATATGGAAATACTCAAATAAAGTGCAAGTATCTCACAGTTGTATTTAAGAACAGTAATTGAGTAAATGTATTCACTACTTTCATCATTTTATAAAATACTTTGATATAGATTCCATCAAAGGTATGTAGAATAGTCAAATTAGCTTCACCTTGACCCACTGCAACATTATATTTACACATTAATGCATAAAGGATCATAATACAATATTTCCACATACAACACTGACGCACGCCATTCTGCTGCATAGTGAGTATTTTCACTTTTTAAACTTTAATAAGAACATTTTGCTGATACAGCATTATTGTAATTGTTTGTAAGTACTTGAGTAAATGTAGGCTACTTAAGTTCAACCACAAGTGAACAAAAACATGTTGGAAATGCCCCAAAACTGCAGGAGCATAGAATGGAAATACTCAAGTAAAGTACAAGTAGCTCAAAGGTGTACTTCTGAACAGTAACTGAGTAAATACATTTAGTTACTTTACACTCCTTCATTCATTTAATGTATTTTTGTTCCTACATTTGACAGTTATTTATATTTTACCTTGTACTTTACGGATTAATCATCTGCATACAAACTGTGTCATCGTCTCATAATGTACTTTGTAATAGATTTGATCAATAGTTAGATCAGCTCCACCTTGACCCACTGCAACATAACATTTACAAATGAATGCATAAATAATAATAATAATAATCCAATATTAGACACAGGCCATTCTGCTGCTTAATTAGTATCTTTACTTCTTAAACTTTAATAAGAACATTTCACTGAGTTTACAGTATCATACAGTATTATAGTAACTGTTCTTGAGCACTTCACTAAATGGAGGATACCTCATCCACCAGTGAAAATAAACACGATGAAAACGCACCCAAACCGCCATGATTTATCCTTCTAACGTTCATCTGAACTACATCAGGCCGCATTTACATTGATGTTAATTAACCGTTAATGTTACTGAAAAGTTCACTTACCTTCAAAATTGATATTGTCGGCATTTTGTGCGGCCTCGTCGATCCACACCACGCTCTTAAATACAAGAGACACTGAAACAAAACACAAAAAGTTAGCAAAGTACCTAAGTTTGTTGTAACTCTTCCAAAACTATTAAGATTTAAAGTCAGAGGGCGACATTTTGAACCTGACACTGACCCGCCGCCTGTTGGCTAACGTTAGCTAAACCTGCCGTTAGCTAAACGGCGTTACCCTCCGTTCACACAAAACTAGGATTTAAAGGGTGGATTCACGAAGTAGAATTTGATAGATGCGGTGTTTTGCGTTATTTCAGTTGATTGCCGTCACATTTACCCCGTTAAACGTACCTGCTTTCGAGCTTCTGAACGGGAACAGCCAGTGAGTCTGTAGTGAGGAGGAAAAAAGATGGCGGAGTGTTGTTCTGATTGCGACCGTTAGAGGTCACTGTGGAGATACCAGGTTCCTCCCAGGTGAGAGGGTGGATCTGTTAACTTGCTTTTTTACCTGATTTTTTTTAAAATATATTTTACCCTGTTAATAATGTCAGAATAAAACCAACAGCCCTAAGAAAGAAAAATAAAAAATATATACTATGCTCTCTGCCATTTTCATTGTTGAAAACTCACTGGGCCCAGTTTTAGAAACAATAGAGTATTAAATATCTGGCAAAACCAGTGCCTCATAGAGAAACAATGGGAGTATTTCCCAGACTTCACGCTATAAACCAGACCGGGCTGTTTCCAAATAACACGACCCCATCTCTCTCATCAGGTCACAGAACACTAAACTGTGTGCCAAACATTTCACAGAGGAGTGTATTGTCATATCTCTGACGGGTCTGAAGAAGGGCAGTGTATATGTGTCATTTTACTGCTGTAGATGTTTCAGGTTTTACCTCCTTTATACTTAATCTACAACAATGCATCATATTCTATAAGATCATCATATGATTGGAGCGTGGCTGCCCTGTGAGAACCAGATATCTCTAAAAAAAAGTCAGGAAACAATTTTCAGCTTTGTGAAGATGCATTTTCCAGCTGATCTAAAAAGGTTTTTACAGAGTTTGTTGAGTTTAAGAAGGAGGAGAATTTTCTCAGCGCATGAAGAAACACTTCATCTTTCAGTTTATCACAAAAATTCAACATCAACACATGTGGAGATACATGGTTTTCACTGGACAGGAAGGGGATGAAAAGCTGTCAGAGAAATGTAGTGCAGTAAAAGTACAATATTTAGTTTATTTATTTAGAGGTATTGAGTTGCAGACAATTAAAATACTAATAGTAAAGTACAAGTACCTCACATTTGTACAGTTGATGTGACAAATTGAAAAGATAAGGCAGGTGTTCTTAGGTGTTGACTTAAATAAAAGTACAAAAGTATCAGCATCAAAACCAGAGGTGGGTAGAGTAGCCAAATATTGTAATCAAGTAAGAGTACTGATACTTTAGAACAATATTACTCAAGTAAAAGTAAAAAGTAGTCATCCAAATAATTACTTGAGTAAGAGTAAAAGAGTATTTGGTGAAAAAAGTACTCAAGTATTGAGTAACTGTTGAGTAACATCTGATTTATTTGTAAAATAAGAACATGAACATAATCAATCAATCAAAAATAATAATCTGCAAGTTCATGTATTTTAAAAGACACCCCTTTAACTTAAACAAAAATAAATTAAATCTTTACAAACATAACATAAATCAAGGCACGAGAAACACAAATATATTCTGATATATACTGTACATATACAGTACAGGCCAAAAGTTTGGACACACCTTCTCATTCAATGCGTTTTCTTTATTTTCATGACTATTTACATTGTAGATTCTCACTGAAGGCATCAAAACTATGAATGAACACATGTGGAGTTATGTACTTAACAAAAAAAGGTGAAATAACTGAAAACATGTTTTATATTCTAGTTTCTTCAAAATAGCCACCCTTTGCTCTGATTACTGCTTTGCACACTCTTGGCATTCTCTCCATGAGCTTCAAGAGGTAGTCACCTGAAATGGTTTTCCAACAGTCTTGAAGGAGTTCCCAGAGGTGTTTAGCACTTGTTGGCCCCTTTGCCTTCACTCTGCGGTCCAGCTCACCCCAAACCATCTGGATTGGGTTCAGGTCCGGTGACTGTGGAGGCCAGGTCATCTGCCGCAGCACTCCATCACTCTCCTTCTTGGTCAAATAGCCCTTACACAGCCTGGAGGTGTGTTTGGGGTCATTGTCCTGTTGAAAAATAAATGATCGTCCAACTAAACGCAAACCGGATGGGATGGCATGTCGCTGCAGGATGCTGTGGTAGCCATGCTGGTTCAGTGTGCCTTCAATTTTGAATAAATCCCCAACAGTGTCACCAGCAAAACACCCCCACACCATCACACCTCCTTCTCCATGCTTCACAGTGGGAACCAGGCATGTGGAATCCATCCGTTCACCTTTTCTGCGTCTCACAAAGACACGGCGGTTGGAACCAAAGATCTCAAATTTGGACTCATCAGACCAAAGCACAGATTTCCACTGGTCTAATGTCCATTCCTTGTGTTTCTTGGCCCAAACAAATCTCTTCTGCTTGTTGCCTCTCCTTAGCAGTGGTTTCCTAGCAGCTATTTGACCATGAAGGCCTGATTGGCGCAGTCTCCTCTTAACAGTTGTTCTAGAGATGGGTCTGCTGCTAGAACTCTGTGTGGCATTCATCTGGTCTCTGATCTGAGCTGCTGTTAACTTGCCATTTCTGAGGCTGGTGACTCGGATGAACTTATCCTCAGAAGCAGAGGTGACTCTTGGTTTTCCTTTCCTGGGTCGGTCCTCATGTGTGCCAGTTTCATTGTAGCGCTTGATGGTTTTTGCGACTCCACTTGGGGACACATTTAAAGTTTTTGCAATTTTCCGGACTGACTGACCTTCATTTCTTAAAGTAATGATGGCCACTCGTTTTTCTTTAGTTAGCTGATTGGTTCTTGCCATAATATGAATTTTAACAGTTGTCCAATAGGGCTGTCGGCTGTGTATTAACCTGACTTCTGCACAACACAACTGATGGTCCCAACCCCATTGATAAAGCAAGAAATTCCACTATTAACCCTGATAAGGCACACCTGTGAAGTGGAAACCATTTCAGGTGACTACCTCTTGAAGCTCATGGAGAGAATGCCAAGAGTGTGCAAAGCAGTAATCAGAGCAAAGGGTGGCTATTTTGAAGAAACTAGAATATAAAACATGTTTTCAGTTATTTCACCTTTTTTTTGTTAAGTACATAACTCCACATGTGTTCATTCATAGTTTTGATGCCTTCAGTGAGAATCTACAATGTAAATAGTCATGAAAATAAAGAAAACACATTGAATGAGAAGGTGTGTCCAAACTTTTGGCCTGTACTGTATATATATATATATATGTGTAATTATGTACTCAGAGGTGGGTAGAGTAGCCAAATATTGTACTCAAGTAAGAGTATTGTTGCTTTAAAACAATATAATTCAAGTAAAAGTAAAAAGTATTTTGCATTAAAACTACTCTGAAAAGTACAATTTATCCAAGAAGTTACTCAAGTAAATGTAACTGAGTAAATGTAACTAGTTACTACCCACCTCTGATCAAAACGTAAAGCACAAAAAGTAAAAGTACTCGCTATACAGAACGGCAAGTTTCAGAATAATAACCATTACTGGATCATAATCACTGATGCATTATTGTGCTCATCACTTTAAAGGTCCAGTGTGTAGGATTCAGGGGGATATATTGGCAGAAATGGAATATAACAGAAGAAGTATGTTCACCTCTGTTATGAAACTGTTTGGGTGTTGAATGTGTGACCAGGCGGAAGACGTGCTTTCCCTCTTGTCCTACAGGGGGCGACATGGAGCAAACTGCTGCTCACCTACACCGACAAACTGAAGCCGAAGAAGACATTTAGACTTTGGAGGCAACAAACCAAAACAAAGCTCATGTTGGTGTTTTTAACTCGTCTGCATGGATGCAGTTAGCTCTACATTTAAGCCAGCCCCTGTAAAGTTTAATTCGTGTCTTTTACCGCATTAGTGAAACACTTCTGTGTGTGACTTTATGGAGACCAAAGCGCGTGCTGTGCTGAATGCGGTTCCTCCTTACGGACATGTTGTTGCCAGCGAGAAATGGAGGAACTCGTCCCTCATTCAAAGCTTAAAGGGTAATAAGAGCCTATTTTATTGTTAATGTCTGTATTATATGTTTAATTTAAAAAAAAACAACACACAAACGCCAATTTGTCAGCATGTAACGTTGGCTAACGTCTGTGCCGTTTACGTTTTACGCGGATACAACTAACGTATGCCAAACCCCATTCAAAAATATCAGTGTATAAATTTGTTTCGCAAGAATGTAGTGTAGAGTACGGCTGTACAACTCCCCTTAATCAAATACTCCCACTCTTCAATTCGGCTCACATGTCAGTAGTTTAAAATGGTTTAATAATGTAAACACAGCTTTTATAATCCATGCATACCACAGTGCATCCTGGTTAAAGACTGCGGCAAAGTGACTTTTACAGAAAAAATCGTTGCTGAGGGATGGTATTAATGCCGATATGAAAAGTGTTCAATATAACGTCAGACGAGCCCCCTATGATGTAAATACATCTTTATTAACACCATCTCTTCGTGGATTAGAGTAGCTTTTATTACGTTTTTGAATGGAGTTCTGCGTGAAAGGCAAACACACAATCTGAACACCTGAGTTTGATAAATAAGTTTAAGTAATGCATATCTTTCTGTATATCTCTTGTTTTCTGTTGCATTGTGAGCAAAATGCGTCCTGTTGCATAAGATTAAATAATGACATGCACTTGTCTTTGCTTAAAGAGTAGGAACTTCACAGCCTTGATATAAAGAAAATGCACTCATAAACAAGCCCTACTTCTGCTGCAGGTGGAGGTGTGAAAATCCTCTTTGAGAATGAGCTCGGCGTGGCAGATTTCCACCTGCCCAACAAAAGCTGCATCCTCTATGTGTCTGAGTGTGACATCATAGCAGGAAACAGCTACAAGAGGAAACTGGTTCGCTACAGAAATGTGAGTTGAACAAATGAGACAATATACAAACCAGTTCTGCTAAAAGCTTTCCTGTGTTGTTCTGCCTGACATGAACTGTGTCCCTCCTGTTTTAAAGTCCAGCAGCAGTTTCCAGGAGTTGGTGCTGGTGGAGAACACCAGACTCAGTGAGCAGTATTTCTCTGCTGTGCAGAAGTTTGTGGTGTTCGACCTCGGCTTGACTCTGCTGCCGGTCAGCGGGCAGACTGAGGCCTCGCAGCTCATCGCTCAGATC